ATGATTAGTCTGTTGCAATGAAGCTTCCTTAATTGAAATCTATGTAAAAGAACAACTCCAGCCAATCCTTGAACTAAAAGGGTTAAAAAGTCCTGTATGTTCTCTATCATTCCTCCATTTGAGCTACAGTCATGGGGTACAGCTGTACCTACTCCTTGTAACTGTAGATGCAAGGTAGAGAGGCCAAGCTTTTGGCCAAAAGTTTTTAGAGATGACTCACAAAATAGGACTTAAATGTAAACGAAAATTTCCATTCTATATACCTTTGTCTTTTTTCTTTTTCTTTACTTAATACCAGTACCTCTTTACTTTTACCAATTTTTTTTGAGTCAGGGTTTCTCTGTATTGTTTGAGGCTGTCAGTCCAGCCTGGCCTCGAACTCACAGAGATCCACCTGCCTCTGCCTCCCCAAGTGCTGGGATTAAAGGCGTGTGCCACCACCGCCCAGCTTGTTACCAATTTTTTTTTCTGTATTATTTGGAGGCTGTCTTGGAACTTGCTCTGTAAACCAGGCTGGCCTTGAACTCAAGAGATCTGCCTGCCTGTGTCTCCCGAGTACTGGGATTAAAGGCGTGTGCTGCCAACGCCCGGCTATTCACCCATTTTCAATCCAACTTTCAACCCAGGATGTTCCCTCATAAAGGCGTGTTGGGATTAAAGGCGTATGCCGCTGGTATTAAAGGCGTATGCCGCTGGCAATCTCTTGGATTCCCCTACTTTCTGACCCTGGTATCAGGCTTAGGAGGGGGAAACTCAGAATGTCTAGTTTCTGACTTTTTAAACTCATTGGCGGCAGCCGCTCCCAATGTATTATTGGTGTTATAAAATTTGATGAACAGGGAGCTGGAATGACTAACTGGCATCAACATGGGGGGGAATACTCACCAACACCCATATTTCTCTTACCTGAGTGTTCAGCAATGGTTGGATCATCTTTATCATGGTGAGCATTCCTAGTATACGGAGTAGTATTGGGGTCGACATGCCTGATGCACCGTCCGGGGACCCAAATAGGCTTCTCACTTCCTGGAGGGAAAACACAAACAGCCCCTCGGACCCTAGCTAATAGGGGGGTGGGTGGCTGCCATTTTCCTGTAATTGAGTCCTTCCATCCGACCCATCCCAAGGACTGGGAGGGTTTGTTTCAATGTCTCTTCATAGTAGACAAATTACGGTATAGGGGTATTCCAAGGGGACATGGAAGGAACCAAATGACCTGCCTCCAATTGTGCTGGGCCGGTACTTCCAAAACCTTGGTTGCCCCTTTTCTCTTTAATTTTTCTAGCCTCACAAGGAGCTGTAGGGAGAAGGAGTAACTGAGCAATCCGTTCTCCTGCAGGGATGGCAACAACCCCACTGCCCACTGATGTCATTATTTTAATCTCCCCCTCACTATCCTGGTCTATAACACCGGGGTGTACCTGGATGCCTCGAAGAATAGTACTGGACCGTCCCAAGAGTAGTCCGACCGTGCCTGGGGGCAATGGCCCATGCACCCCAGTAGGGAGGGCCTGGATCCCCATTTCCGGTGTTAGGATTGCCCCCTGATAGAGTCGCTTGGCAAAGCTGCTGCCAATCACTAGGTGTCAAGTTAAGAGACACAAAAGATTCCATTAAGGAAAGTGTAAAGGGAGCCTGTGCTCCATAATTTAAAGTTGCCTCCTTAAGTTGTTTTATATCCTTAAAATTTAAAGGGTTATGATGCCAAATGACCTGTCCAGAATTGTTTGGGTCTGGAACTTCCATTACTGGGGCCACCACTGGGCAGCATTGGACCCCTCCTCTGGGTCTTCCCTCCAGATCCGAGAAGGACTGAGTTATCTCATAGGAGTCCCTTTTTTCAGAGTATGGGGAAGGGTTTCTCTCCCTGTCCTGTCTTTCCTTAAATCGAATCTTTTTTAGTTCTTTTTTAAGGGCCGCGATCTCAGCAAGTAACCGTTCCTTTTCAGACTGTGACGAGTCTGAGTCTGAGCTACTTCCATTTTCTAGGTCTGATAGAGAAGGATATAACCGATTCTGACCGGAGTTCTTCTGTTTGGGTCGCGCCCGGAGATCTCTACCCGTTTTTTTGTTGTTACTAAGAGACTCCTCCTCATCCTCACTAACAATGGAGCCTCTAGTTTCAGTCAGGGTCCCTTCAGATGATTCATCATCACTCTCTGCCCCTGAACTCAAGGAGGCTTGAGTCTCAGTCTCTTGTAATTCTAAAAAGCCTCTTTTGTGTCCTGAACTACCTGGCGGTGACAAACCTTATCTGTCAAAAGTGCTCCCCTCACTAATCTCCATAAGGAGAATGTCGTAGGGGGTAAGGACTCAGATCCCTCTTTTCGTAAAAGTCTGTGAAGATCACGGCGAACCTCCTCCCAATCTGGAATATTTAAGTTTCCCCCAGTAATGAACCATGGACTGGCTCGTTCGATCGATTTTAGAAAGCCTTCTAGGGTTTTAGACTTGACTGCAGTCCCATGTTCTTTAAGTAACTTTTTTAGTTGATACTGCAATGATTCTAGCTTCCCGGAACTATTCCCCATAGTTTCTTAACCCCGTCCACTTACCTCGCTTTCGCGATCTCGGTAGGACCTCCAATTGTCGCGTCTGCTGCGCGGCCTGTGTCCGAGAACGTGCGGAGGGTGTCGGGGATTGACAACACAGAGACTCGTTCAACGATGTAAAGAAAACTTTAAGCAGGCTCCAAAAAGGTTCAAGAAAACTTCCTAAGAAAGGCTCCCACCAGAGAAGCTTCTGCTCTCTCCTCTACCCTGGCTGGTTCTGCTCTGACTCCAGAAACTGATCTGGGCGTGGCAGAAGAGGTGGTTAGTCTTTGGACAAGGTCGAGGTCAGGGTGGTTTCTGCGGGCAGGTCTTTTCCAGGAACTTAATGCCCCCAGGCATTGTATTGTTTTTAGTAAACATGTTTTTAGTAAACATTGTCTTACAGCTGCCTACTCCCAGGCAGAAGGGGAAGTGGGTCTCTGCTCAAGGTCTGGTGTTCCCACATAACTCGAAAGCTCCCCCCCTCCCCCCCCCCCCGCCCCCAGAGCAGATGGGAGTAAATAGAGAGACCCACAGCCAGACATGCAGACAGTGAGAGACTTGGAACACTTGGCTCGAAGTGGGGTGTCTCCATCAAATCCCTCCCCTCAGAGCTCAGTGAACTCTGCAAAACCTGGTGGAAAGAAGGGATGGGGGTCGCCAGGAAAATAGAACCTCTAAATCAGCGTGAGTGAAGTTTTCATAAACTCACAGAGACTGAAGCACCATGCACCACGTACTATGCACCACGCACCACGCACCACGCACCACGCACCACGCACTGGCCCACACAGGCTTACGCCAAGTCATCTGCATATATATATATATGGACTCCCAGTTTAGTGGTTTTTATGGATTCCTAAGTGAAGGAACAAGTTGGTCTCTGATTCTTGTATCTTCTCCGGAGCCCTTTTTCTTCTTTTGGTTTGTCCTGGGAAACTTCGATGTGATAGTTTTTGGTTTATCTTTTTATATTTCATTGTGCTATATTTAAAACAACAAATTTATTCTCACCACATGAAAGCAAAAAATATAACTCAATTAAATATTAAATAAGCATCTGTGCTTCTGTTTTAGAACACAAGTAAGACTCTCGGAATAAATCAGTGATTACACAAAATAATATGAGTGATAAAATATATTGTTTCTCCACATTTCAAGTAAAAGCATATTCCTATTTATTTCTACCCCTAGTCATTCCCCCCAAAAATTATCATTCAGAATTATAATTGATTTTCTGTTAGTTTTTAACCAAGGTAAGTCCTCCAAACACGAGGTACAATCATTAGCATAGATAATATAAAGAAAAGCATGGCAACATTAAATAAAATTGGAAAAATACTATTAAAACCTTAACCCAGTCCTATATATATTACACCTATAGGATTCTATCTTCCATTTGCCAAAGGTCCATGTACACAATAAAGCCTGTTTGAAAATCTTGATCATTCAAATTAACGTGTTCATATTTATTTTTATTAGACACATTTTCATCATTAAATATTAAACATTTATTAAATATTAAACGTTTTCTGTGTATATGTGTGTGTACATGGTGTGTTTGTGTGTGTGTGTGTGTGTCTGTGTGTGCCTGTGTGTGCGTGTGCATGTGAGTGCAAGGGTGCATCCTAACAGACCTGAAGAGGTCAGAAGGCAACCTTCTCATGTCAGACCTGTCCAACTAAATTTAACTGGTTTATATGGAATGAACACAGGTAGCCAGGCCTGGGTGGCAAGCAACTTTACTTGCTGAGCCAACTCCTGGGTTCCAACTTTTCATTTTCCATTAAGTTCTCGGAGAAATATCAAAAGAAACAAGTTGATAGTAGAGAAAATATGAAGAAATAAATAATTCTCCCACTTTTTAACTCAAAGAGACAATACAGTAGAGAATTAAAAATTTTAACATTGTAACTAAGTATTGTTATTCAATATATTTATTGGTCTAAAACTTTACTGTTTCTAAAGCAATTTCCATTTTTATTTCTCACGGTTTCCATAGATCATAAATGCAGGAGCAGTGTAGTTGTAAAATTCTAACTTGGACTTCCCCATGATATTTGTTCTAGTGATAAACTCAGTCACCTGAGAGAATAGCAGAGACAAACTAAATATTTCCTAAGAAGTCACCTAACAAAATTCAGAGCTCAGTCTACCTTTTGTTGGTGACAGGTTTGTTCATACTTTGCTTCCTAGTGATTTTAAATAAATCACCAAAGTCAACAGCTCTTTTGAACTTTGTGAGGTAAACCAGAACGAAAGGAGCTTCTGTGTGCTGTGTCTGTAGGACAGATTCTGGGGTGAAGGAACCTATGAAAACTTAAAGTGACAAGGTCACAGAGACGGGTTTTTCATCCATCCAGCATATTTTGTGTGTGATGTGGGAAAAAGAAATTGAACTGATGACTAGGTGACACACACTGCTACAGCCCTTGCACACGCTTTTGAAGGAACAGAAGTTATTTTTTCTTTTATTTCTTATTTATTTTCATTAATAATATATGACGGTGATCTCAGCACTTTAGCATCGCAGGTTCCAATTCTCGCATTTTCTAACTGCAGCACCGAGATGTGTGGCTCTGCTGTCGATACAGGCGGTGGCATCTGTTATACAATAAAAACCAAAGCCATTTTTAGGATGGCTAGCTTTTTGAATTACCCTACAACAAAAAGGATGCATAGTATGTGTTGAGAGATGACGTCATGTCACTTCTCAGGGACAGGGTGATAAAGTTGCCTAGTAGGCAGAAGCTAGGATTAAGTCATTTCTGTACAAAAAGCAGAGAAAGCAAAAGAAAAATATTATTTTAACCTTCATAGAATATTAATATATATATACAACTATCTACTAAAAAAAGTATGTGCCAGCTACCTCTTAAAATTGGTATTTGCATTATGATTGCATTTCAAAATTAGTTTCTAAAACAGTGTTTTTTCTATTTTGACTTCCTTTTGTTTTACTTTTAAAATTATCTAAATTGGCATACAAAATATTACATTTAATGTTGGCACTCTCTAACAAAGTACATTTTGGTAGAGTCTTCTGTCTCTCCTCCCTGTATTGGACTCCCCATCGCAGACTCTTCCCTCTGACTTCCTTCTGCTTTCACGCCATGTACCTCTGCTCTCTCATTACCCCAGTACCCCATTTTACTCTCTTGGTCTCCCTTCTATGTTTTCAGGTTTCACCCACATTTACAATCACACATTATAACTAATGCCCCTGAAAGAGATTCTGTTTTTCTCTTTAGGACACCCCACTTAAATTTATACTTTCCAGATCTATTAATTTTTCGGAAATGTTTATAACTTCGTTTTCCTTTATTGGTGACTAGTATTCCATTTTGTATCTATGTCACATTTTCATGATCTATCCGTTTGTTGATGGACATCTACTCTGGTTCTGGCACTTTCCTGTTGTGACTGTGGCAGCGGTAAACAAGGTTGTTCAAGTGTCTTAGGAAATGGAATCCTTTGGGTATATGCTCAAATCTGTAAATGTCCTAGCCATTCTCAAGGCTGTACTTTCCAACTGGATTATGGTATATAAGGATCAAAGACTGGCATCAAAAGGATTTTCACTGACAATGAGCATCAGAAACTTCAAAAACAGTCAGGAAAACAAAACAAAACAGAAAGGGACCATCCAAGAATATTAATGTTTACTGTTCAGCCAGAGAGGTGCACCACTTCCCATGGATTAGTGTAAAGTGGATATTCTAATGATTGGGAAAAAATTTTATTGAAAAACAGTTTTAAACTCAACCGATAAAAGGTAAAGTAATTATTGGTGTGTATTTCATACAACTTGCAAAAAATCAGACTCCCTTGATTATAACCCTGATTTCTCTTTTTGATTTGAGAGATGAACATTTTAAGATCAGATTATCGTATGTGTTAGACAGTTTTATGACTTAGGAAAAGAAAATATTGGCTAGTAATTTTTTCCTGTATTCATCATGAGATTTGCATAACAATGAGAAATAATTGAAGGGTTAATTTAGTTATTTCTAAATGATAAACTACTCAATGGGGCCTGGCAATATTTGCCTATATCCCAGCAATGAAAAGGGGAAAGCTGGAGGATACAATCTTCAGGGTAATCTTTGGCAAAATACATAATTTGAGTCTATCCTGAGCTACATCATGAAATCCTATCTCAAAAGAAGAAATGAGGGAGGGAAGGAAGGGAGGAAAGAGGTGGGAGGGGGGAGGAAGGGAAGGAAAGAGGGAAAGAGGGAGGCTCTCATTTGGCTTATCATGGGACAAGAACCAAACATTAATGATACTGTGTCCCTAAGTTTAACTCTAAGCATTTTCCAGAAGAAGAAAGGTTTATTAGTGTGACATTCCACAGAAGGAAAGATAATTGAATTCATTGATAATTTAAACAGCCAGGAAAATTATTTTAGAGTTAGAAAGAAACATCCAAGTTAGAGACAATCTCTTTAAAACTCTTAGAGACGAATACAATTGCTTTTAAAATCTAATGCGATACAAGATACATCAGACTATTAAGAGTGGACATTTGCTCTAAAAATCACTGATCACTACTATTACTTATTTTTAAAAATATACTGGACCCAGCTAATAAAATATAGAGAACCATTTGTTTAAAATTAAAATATCTTGATGACGAAGCTAAGTAGGAGAACATACGAGATTCAGTTGGTGTAGCCCATAGAGGACTGGACTGGAAGGAGTTAACATGGGAAATTCTGTGTCATTTCAGGAGGACTGGAGAATGGAGCTGCTGTTTGATATTGCAATTCAAGAAGTATCAAAGAAGGTACAAGGTCAAAGTCAAGCTAAAAGCTTCTTTCTTTCATCTAAAAGGCAGGTCAGACTATCCTATTCCTCTCACTTTTTTTTTTCAGAGAAGAGCATACGAAGGAAGCAAAGAAAATACTCAAAGTGAAGAAGTAGACAGGCAAAGGGAGAGGACCTTCAGCTTCCCAAGGGTGAGAAGCAGGAGGATTTTGAGAAGTAGACATGATAAAGGAAGGATGAGATCACCAGTTCTGAGAGTGTTCAGAGCACAGAGAAACACGGGCATATAAGAGTCCCGATCTGCAATGTTGCAGAAATAAGCTACTATGAATACTCCATAGGAGTAATGACAAATTACATGATGAAATATGACAGGGTTTAGGCAAAACTGTGATCTTTATAAAGATTTTTTTCTGGAGGTTTTTATTTCACCTGAACCAAGAGACTAAAAGGATAAAAGGCAGGTTTTATTCTGACAGCTTGTATTTTTCCCCATTTCTTGGTAAGTTTGTCATTACATTATATTTTCAGAGAACCAGAGAGATCTTTTCCCTCTGACATATCAGCTAATTACTATCTGGATTTCAAGAAGACGTTAGATAGAGATAACATAGATAGATAGATAGATAGATAGATAGATAGATAGATAGATAGATAGAATAAATAGATGATAGGTAGGTAGTAGACATATAGATAGTAGCCAGAGAGATACTAATAAAATACATAATATAATATACATTAGATAATATATATGTCATATATGTATAAGTAGAAACTAAAAAAGTAGATAGATAATAGATAGAAGATAAATAGATGATCATTAGACCAATGATAGGTGATTGATTAGAATTTTGATTGTAAATTTGACATAAACTACAGTTATTTGGGAAGGATTCTCAATTAAGAGTCTCCATAAAAACAGCTTGCAGGAAAGTCTATAGGGAATCTACGTAAGTAGTGACTGACGTAGAAGGGTCAGGCCTATTGTGGATGGTGTGACTCCCTGGGGTAGGCGACCATGGGATGCAAACTAGAGCAGAGTGAACAACCCACAAAGAGCAAACCAATAAGCAACACTGCTCTGTGGCTTTGGCTTTAGTCCCTGCCTCCAGTTTCCCTTCTTGAGCTGAGAAGAGGAGAAGCAGGGCATCCATGAAGTCAGGTTCCTATCACGGCACTGGAGAGTATGAGGTTAATTGTGAGTGAGATTATAAATGAGCCTTGAAGAGACATAATTTCTTAACATAAATATGAAGAGGTTGCCAACTGACTTAAGCAAGGACATGACTGAGCTATGATTTGAGGCCCAGCTCTTCCACTGTGTTCCTAGTTACCTTGAAGAACTCAAAGATGCTCACAGTAGCAAAGCTGAGTCAAACTTAAGTTGCTTTTCTATTTATAATAATTCAGTATATGTCCTGAATATTAAGGGAAAATGGCTATTAGGTATACAAAATGTTTTTAGTATTCTGTGTATCGAGTACAACATAGGATTTATTTATCCATGAAAATCATCTCAAAACTTTGGAAATATGAAATGAAGAAGCCAAGGTTTTCTCATTTAGTATCAAACAATACAAAGGAAGACCACAAATAATTGGAAAGCACAGCAACAGTGCATGCTAGAACGTTTTAAGAGGTATCTGTGACCTGGAATAGAGTAACTCAAAATAAAACTCTCAAGCCTATCACCATTTTCACTGAAGACACCTCAGCCCATGGAACTGCTTGATGATGGCCTACTTTGCTGAACATGCCAGAGTTCTTGGACCCAAACTCAGAAGACATGACTCTGTTTCTCCCTCTTATCCATGTTCTTCATCCCAGAAGCTGCCCAGGTGTACAGCTTGCCTGGTGACAGGTTTTCTCTCAAACTCTAATAACCTTGCCTTTGTGCTTTAAGTATAAACACAACACACACACACACACACACACACACACACACACACGCACACGCACACACGCACACACACACAAGCAGTGCATCAGATGAAGAGCTAACAGTTTGATGATGAGAATGATTTGAAAAACTTCAGCTTATACAGAAATGAGAGATGCAGCATAAAATGTGAATGGTGGGCCATGAAACAAGTAACAACAGTGCAAGTGAGAATGCTTAACATTCACAAATATATTATCAAAACCTATGTGCAGGAGTTTTGTGGATGTTTACCTCAGCTTAGGGGCTATCAAGAGTATACTTCATATGAGACTCAAACAAAAAACTATGACTTTCAAAGCTCCAGGGTCCTTCGAAGACTGGTGATGTAGACAAACAAATAGGAAGGATAAGCTCCACAATGAAGAGTAGCTGGGGAACAAATGTGTTTTTAAAGAAAGAACATGAGGTTTGGTTTATAAGGAGGTAGGCATGATCAAAGAGTAGTTGAGAGAGAGGGCTTAACATGATCAAAATATATTGTACAACATTTTCAGAGAATTAATAGAAATAATATGTAAAACATAAGCTAAAATTAATTAAAGCACAATTAAATTATATAATGATACAAGTTCTGTCCTTACAGATTTTGTCTCAGTTTTTGGCTGAAAGAATGTGCTCTTCATCATGTACACAATTCAGCAGAAAAACAATGGAATCCTGAGATTTGCAGGAAAATGGATGGCACTAGAAGAAACCATCCTGAACGAGGTAACCCAGTCACAAAAAGAGAAACATGGCATGTACTCTCTCATATATGGATTTTAGACATAGATCTGGGGAGTGCCAGCCTACAATCCCATGGCCAGAGAGTCTGGAAAACAGAACCTTCATTCAGTGGCTGATGGAAGAAGAGGCAGACTCCCACGGCTAACCACTGAGCTGAACTCAAGAAAGCCAGTAACAGAGAAGGAGGACTGATGACCAAAGGGATTAAGCCTGGGCTGTTTTAACCCCCAGAAACAGCTGACCTGACAAGGGTTAGCTCTTGAATCCCAGGATGATGCCTGGGAATCCAGCATGGGACTGATCAAGATCCCCTGAATGCAGGTGTCAGTGAGGAGGCCTAGGCAATCTATTTAGCCTTGGGTAGTAGATCAGTATTTATCCCGGGTATACACATGGACTTTGGACTCCCATCCAACAATGTGAAATGCACTCTCACCCTGGACTCTTGGGGGAGGGTCTAGGCCCTGCCCTGAATGAAATGACAGACTATGGACACCCTCATGGAGGGCCTCACCCTCCCTGGGGAAATGAGGGGATATTGGGGTAGTTGGGGGGAGGGCACGGGAGGAGGGGAGGGAAACGGAAAGGGACCTGGAACTGGCTTGTGAAGCAACCTTGTTTCTAATTTAAATTTAAAAATAAATAATAATAAAAAATTTCTTTCTGGTGGACCTGTCCAGTGGTGAGACTGGGGTATTGAAGTCTCCCACTATAAGTGTGTGGGATTTAATGTGTGATGTGAGTTGTAGTAGTGTTTCTTTTGAATGTGGGTGCCTTTATATTTGAGGCATAGATGTTCAGAATTGAGACTTCATCCTGATGGATTTTTTCCTGTGATGAATATGAAATGACCTTCTTCATCTGTTTTGATTAATTTTAGTTTGAAGTCTATTTTGTTAGATGTTAGGATAGTTACACCCGCTTGCTTCTTAAGTCCATTTGATTGGAAAATCTTTTCCCAGCCCTTAACCTTGAGGTACTGTCTGTCTTTAAAATTACTCTGCTTGTTGATGTTTTGAGCTATTGTTTACCTGGTTATTGTAAAACTCAGTCTCAGATTTAGGATTTAGAAATGTAATAGAAACAAATAGGTACAAATTTTGTAGAGAATAAACAGTTTGCTGACTCTAATTAAAAACCCATTTTGAGGTATCAAAAATTTATAAGAAAAAAAATAAAAAAAGAATGTGCTCTTCATATGAAGCAAGAACATACAGGAGGTAAAATGTAACAATAATTGAGAGGTAAAATAAATATTGATGACTAATTATAATTAACATGTTTTTGGTGTAAGCCAAGAAATGGCATTAACTACAGGAATCAATGAAAATGATCAAACACAGTATGGTCTCAGTTCCAAAGTATTAATTTGAAGAGAAGAAAGTATTGGTAGTTTGAATGGGTATGTTGAGTCAAACATCTGCAGGTGAAAACAATCCCAGAGGAATTCCTGGGGTATAGATATGGAGACCATTACCGTTCACAGGTAGGGTAGGAGTTGAAGAACTGTGCCATGCAAGAAACCACATACTACTCACCCCAGTACATGGAAAGTAAGTTCAGGACAAGCCGTAGTTCAAGGTCATCTTCAGCTACACAAACAAGCTTGAAACCAGTTGTGCTCCAGGAGATCTGTAACTGCCTGCATGAGGTCTGAAAAAGAATGGAAAAGAGGAGCAATAAGGGTTCGAGGGAGACTACTTGGGGAGAAGAAGGGGACCAGCCAGAGTAAGGGGAGGTTAGGAAAACATTGGTTAGTGGACGGACGTAATCACAGGGCATTACATATAAGTGTTATATTGTCAATGGTTTTTTAATTGACTTTTAAAATCCAAAATAAAAAGATGAACTTAAAAATTACAAAACTGAGAAACATTTCAACAAATTCATGATATCATTATACTATATTCTCATAAATAAAAAGTAAATATGAGCCGAACTCCTGGAATCCAGTTGCTGAAAAGGAGGAGTGATGAGGAAAGGAGTCAAGAAAAGGCTGGGGAAACCCACAGACACAGCTGACCTGACCAAACTGGGAGCTCGTGGTCCCCAGACTAACAGCTGGGAAACCAGCATAGGACCGAAGCAGGCCCCCTGAACGTGGGTGAGAGTTAGAGGCCTAGACAGTCTTCGGGGCCTCTGGTAGTGGATCAGTATTTATCCCTAGTGTATGAATGGACTTTGAGAGCCCATTCCCCATAGAGGGATACTAGACACATGAGGGAGAGCCTAGGTCCTGCCCCAAATGATGTGACCAACTTTAATGATTCCCCATAGAAGGCCTCATCCTCCCTGAGGAGCATAAAGGTTATGGGATGGGGGGACAATGGGGGACACAGGAGGATGGGAGGGAGAGGGAACTGGGATTGATACATAAAATAAGATTGTTTCTAATCTAAATAAAAATTAAAAGTAATAATGGTAATATTGATTAATTAAAACACTAAAAAGAAGCAACCAGGTCCCTAAGAGAAAAACCATCAGGGCCTTACATTCTGTCTCAGAAGATGAGAGAAAAAGAGAAAGTTAAGTCTATAGTGTAGAAAGATACTGGCAGGAAATGACAAGGAATATTTTTAAAGACAATGATTTTTCTGGCATGGAGTACACATTGCTATAGTCCTATTGCTAATCAGAATTTTCTAGAATGAAGCCTTTTCAGTTTTTCAGGTTTTCCCAAACACAGAATGTTTCTATTCTATTGAAGTTTATTTTAATTTCACAATATACTCACAATCCCTTAAGAAAACTTGTTGATTTGTGATGCAGTCACTGAACTAGCATTATCGTTAGGTACTCCATCTCAATATAGTTATTGAATAATGAATGAGTCAGTCTCACTGCAGGTGCCATTGAAACTGCAGGAGTCAGTCTAGATGTGAGAATATTCCAATACTCTCCCATAGTGCACAGCAATTTGTAAAGTGTAAAAATCCATCACAAATATCTTTGAATAGCACATTTTCTGTATGAAGTCCCGTATCTATTAAAAACACCTTAATAAGCAGCTCTCTGGATTTATAATATAAATTTGGATCCTCTAATGCAAAATTCAAGGTACATATGTATACAAAATATACAGTTGACTATTGTTCCAGAAACCCCCTCAAGCACAGAACAAAAACACCACTCAAGAAAGAAAAATGGAACTCCTTCACTAATTTAACTATGATTCATTTTGTCAGATCCTGTTGTACCAGTTTACAATGAGAAGCTAAAATTAAATAAATAAGAAATAATCTTGCAAGTTTTATAAAGCATTTTTAATTTCTCTTTCTTTTTAGGTTAAAAAAATTGTGCCTAGCAATAGTGGTGCACACATCTTATCTCAGCACTCTGGAGGTAGAGGCAGGCAGATAAGTTCAAGGCCATCCTGGTCTACAGGGTGAGTTCCAGGACAGGCTCTAAAGCCACAAAGTAAGCCTGTCTTGGAAAACCAAAAAAAAAAAAAAAAAAAAAAAAAAAAGAAAGAAAGAAAGAAAAGAACAATATGGCATGCCATGCACATGTGTAGAAATATCCTGTGGAATCCCATTAATATATGCAATAATGTGGTAATCCACATAAATTATTTTAATACATATTTGTTATTCACAGAATACTATAATGACATAGGAACTCAACAAGTGCTTGATGCCAAGTATTCCTTTACATTCCTGAAATGCAATATAACAATGTAGCTATGCAGGTGGCAGAGAGTCCAAGAAACTATCTCCTCAGGATTGTTCTAATTTTTGTTTTGGTTTTGTACAGGGTCTCTCTATGTAGCCCTGGCTGTCCTGGAGCCCACTATATAAGTCGACCACATGCTGTCCTAGAATCCAGAGACCCTTTTTTATCTGTCGCCTGAGTGCTGGAATTAAGAGTAGGCATCACCCTGACTGTTGTAATTATTTTCCCTTTCTGGATCACAATCTCTTCCTTATACCACTGCTTTTCTTGTCCTGACAGAGGCAGCCAGGCAGTCAGCAGTGCTGGGTGTCAGTGAGGCTGAACAGAAAGCAGAAATCAACCACCATGGGTCACTTGGAATCTCAAAGCTTCCATGAGCTTTGTTCAGTTTGGTCCAGTAGACTGTGTAAGAAAGATGAGGAAAACATTTTACCAAACAGACTCAATGAGAAAAAATTGGGAAATGAATCCTCTTCTGAAATAGGGTGATTATGTCCATTTATCCTATAGGAATGATTGCTTTTACATAACAAAACTGACTACAAATGCATTTTTAACTAGAAGAGCTGGCTATGAATTCTCCTTTTATTTTCCTTTATCTTTCTCACATATTTTACATCTGACTGCATTTTCCCCTCCTTCCACTCTTTCCAGTCTTCCCCAGACTCTCCCCTCCAAGATATATTCCTCCCCACTCTCTTTTCAAAAAAAAAGTCAGCAGGACTTCCAAGGATATCAACCAAAAGTGGAATAAAAGTTACAATAAGAGTAGGCAAATCCCCTCATATCAAGGCTGTATGAGGAAGCCCAGTATGAAAAGGATCCAAAGAGCAAACCCATGGTTGTAGTTTCAATCTCTCATTCCTTATGAGCCCTGTTTTGTTGATTCCATAAGCTGCGTTCTACCGGTGTCCTTGATCCCTATGACTCTGTCGATTCCACCTTGCTTCTGTGTTTTTCTGTGGGTTTCTGCATCTACTCCCATCAATTGCTGGATGAAATCTCTCTTATAACAGCTGGGCTGGGCACCAATCTTTGAGTATAGCAGAATATCTTTAGTAATACATTTACTGCACTTTTTCCCAGTTGTGTTTGGTTCTATCCTAGGTCTCTGGGCTATTTAGCATCCGGTCCCCAGCCATCCAGGTAGTGTCAGGTGTGGACTCCCTCTCCAGGCGTGGGCTTCAAGTTGGACCAGTCATTGGCTGGCTAGTCCCACAAGTTCTGTGTCACCATCGCTCCAGCATATCTCGGCAGCAAGACAGGTGGCAGGTTTCATGGCTTGGTTGGTGTCCCAATCCCACTGCTGGAAACATTGCCTGGTTATAGAACATGGCTAGTTCAGGCTCCATGTCTCCCATTCATAGGAGTCCATAAAAACCACTAAACTGGGAGTCCATATATATATCAAATCCATGAAAAGTCCCAAATTCGTTATCTCTCCCATTACTCTCTCCCTCCCTCCCCACACATCCCTCTCTGATCCTTACTGATCCCATTCTAAACCATGCCCAGTCCACCTACAAAATCTATTCTATTTCGCCTTCCCAGAGAGATCCATGTGCACACACACACACACACACACACACACACACACACACACACACACACACACACTTAAGAACTCTTTGATACTTTGGCTTTCTAGGTCTGTGGTTTGTATCATGATTGTCTATTACTTAACAGCTAATATCCACCCATGAGTGAATATATACCACTCTTTCTGAGTCTAGGTTACCTCCTTCGGTATGATTTTTTTTTCTGGATCTATCCATTTGTCCAAGAATTTCATGATGTGACTGTTAAAATAGCTGAGTGATATTCCATTGTGTAAATGTATCATGATTTTTTTATCCGTTCTTTGGTTGAAGGACATTTAGGTTGTTTCCAGTTTCTAGTTATTATGAATAAAGCAGTTATGAACATAGCTGAGCAAGTGTCCTTGTGGTACAATGGAGCATCCTTTGGGTTTATACCCAAGAGTGGTTTACCTGGATCTTGATTGATTCCCAATTTCTTAAGAAACATCCATATTGACTTCCATAGTGGATTTACAAGTTTGTATGCTTTCTGTTGTTTCTGTTGTTGAAATTCTGAAAGGCTGAATGTGTTTCTGGTGGGGGGGTATTTTAATTTTCTTGTATCTGTTGAGACTGTATGACTGAGCATATGGTCAATTTTTGATAATATTCTGAGTGGTACTGAGAATAAGGTATGTTCTTTTGTATTTGGGTGAAATGTTTTAGAGAGATCTGTTAGGTCCATTTAGTTAATAACCTCTTGTAGCTCCAGTATTTTTCTCTTTAGGTTTGCCAGGATGATGTGTTCATTGGTGAGAATGGTATACTGAAGTCTCACACTATCAATGTGTGAGGTTTGCAACATGATTTAAGCTTTAGTAGTGTTCCCATTTAAACTTGGGTAACCTTGCATTTGGGATATAGATGTTAAGAATTAAAAGATTATGTTGGTTGATTTTTAGTTTGATGATTACTGGTGGTCCTCCCTTTCTCTTTTGATATGAAATCTATTTTGTTAGCTATTAGAATGGCAACACTTACTTGTTCCTTAGGTTCATCTGCTTGGAAATATTTTTACATCCCTTTACTCTGAGGTAATATCTGTCTTTAATGTTGAGGTGTGTTTCTTAAATGCCACCGAAGGATGGATCCTGTTTTCATATCATTTCTCTTAGTCTGTATCTTTGTTGGTGAACTGAGTACATTGATACTGAGAATTATCAATTACCAATGATTGTTAATTCTTGTTATTTTTGTTAGTGGTAGTGGCAACAATTTGTGTGTTTCCTTTCTTTTTGTTTCACTGTTGTGAGACTATTTATTTCCTGTGTTTTCACGGATGTGGTTAACTCTGTGGGTGAGAAGTTTTCTTCTAGCACCTTCTGTAGGACTAGATTTTTAGTTAGCTATCATTTAAATTTGACTTTATCATGGAATATCTTTTTTTCAACATCTATGGTGATTGAAA